CCACACACACACACACACACACACACACACACACACACACACCTGGCCATATAATAAGTGCTGTAAGGAAGAATAAAAAACCCAAAGCTTGATCCCAAGCAAGAGATTTGACCCCCCCCCCCAAAAAAGAAGAGGTGCCAGACACTCCCTGAAGTCCCCGGGTTTTATTTTCTGTGGCGGTGGGTACAAAACCCTACGGTGATTAGGTCGCTGTGGCAGAGGTGGAGCATCTATGCCCTGTTCCGCACCTCACCCTTCCATAGCCCGTATTTTCTCACATTCTTACTCTCATCCCCTACAGTCCAAAGTGAGGAGTCCAGTGGCCATCGTCTGGCCCCTTTGCTTCACAGCAGCTAGGTTTTGAAACAATGGTTTCTTTTGGTTTAAATATTTGGGAGTGTTAATAGATGATTTCCATAGACAGATGGTCCTTGGGGTGGGCGGGGGGAGGTAGGAACAAACCTGAGCAGTACCGGGCAGGAGCTCAGGCTCTGCACTCTCGCTGCTACCGTTGGGCCAGTGCCAATATTTGTTGTACCACTTCACAGGCGTTTCAAACCAAACTAGCTGTGCACTTGGTAACCATCATAATAAGAGCTGCAGACATCTGCCAGTTACTGCAGGTGAAGCCAAAGCATTTGGTTGAAAAGGGGGTTTATGAAAGAAAATGCTTCCACTCCCTGGGCCACATTCTGGTCTCTGGTGTAAATCTGGAGTAACTCCTTTAGAGTCTGTGGAGTTACTCTGGATTGACTATCTTATAAATGAGACCAGAATTTAGCCCAGTCTTTCTGTGATTTGTTTAAATAACCCACTTGCTCTCAGCCCTGCCCCAACGTTTCATATGCACAACTTTTCAGCTGCATCTAGTCCCAGTTTAATTATGGGAAGAAGGGGAGGCTGGTAGGCATGTTACGAAGGAACAGATTTGGGGGTGCAAGGAGGCTTGGAGCCACGTGCTTGCCAAGCAGGAGTAGACATCAGGGTAGCAAGTGTGGGAAGGACCCACTCCCTGCACTAGTCTCATGGAATAAAAAATGAGCAGCTCTGCCTGCTCCAATGCAGCGCTGCTCCAGTGCAGAAGAACAATACACTTCTTGCGTCAGAACAATTCAGTGCAGGTGCCAGGGTGACAGTGCTGGAGACTGACACCCTCTGTCCATGGGCACCACACAGATGCAGCAGAATGCTGCTTTCCCCATCCCACGGGGCCTCAGTCCTGATCCCCCAGGAGGCATCTCTAGGGCTTGGAGAGGAGCTGAGTCTCCAGGTCCTCTACAATCCTTAGCCTCTCTGCTGAGACTGCCAGCCAGGGGGTCAGTAACAGTGGTGAGGCTGATACGTCTCCAGTGGGAAGCCCATGCACTCCTTCCTCCAGACCACCAAAAATAACACCACCACCACCACCAGCAGCCTGGCTTCCAAGGGCCAGGCCAGTCCATTGACTTAGTGCAGTCAGAGCTGATCTGGAGCAAGGTCAGCAGCCCCTCGGCAGGCTACAGGGTTTAAAAGCCATAAGAACCCCTGGGGACCTCTCTTCTCTCAAGTGCTGTCAGGTGGGTGGCTGCTGGATTCTACAAAATCACCCAGTTTAGGAACAGTCTTAGGGGCAAATCCCAGTGTTGCGGGAGTCAATGGGAGTCTTGCCACTGATCTCAATAACATCAGCGTTTGGCCCTTGGAAAGTTTTCCATCACAGCTCCCTGTCCCCTTATGGAGGCAGCATCTCCACAGCTCTGCGGGAAAGGACTGAGAACTGACTTAAAGAGACTAGATGGGTAAGGGGAGAAATCTGCCCCCCAATAGATCCCTCTGGCTAGGTGTTCCCGGAACACTGAGACTGCTACTGCCCTTTGAAGAGCACATGGGCAATGGAAAGTCTCAGGAATTAGGAAGTTTGCAGACTGCAGCATTCCTGCAGCACCTGAGAACACTCTTATCCAAGTTGCCTGCTTAGTGCTCTCTCATGTACACAGACACACTCCCTCCCCCAGTGAATCTGATCTAAGAGAAGGAAAAACACCGTGCGGGTCACCTAGTCCATCGTCCCCAACAGTAAGGGCAGAGGAGAGCATCCAGGGTTTGAACCTAGGCAAAAAATCATCTCCGCCCATACCAGCAAGCTCTTGAAAGCACTTTCTGCTGACCAGCAAATAACAATGTAGGTAAGAGCCTCTTCAGGGATCGTGCCAGGGGAGAACCTGTCCCAAGGTTCTCAGCTTATGCACAAGGCAGAAGTGGATGGATTTTAGCAGCACACAGAGACAGAATCACCACATAGTTCCACTGATCAGAGTATAGAGAATTGGAACCCTAATTAGGGTCCATGTTGGGCAGGACTGTTTCTTATCATACCGATCCTAAGGCTTGGTCTAGGCTAGATTTAAAACTCCCAAACAATGGAAATCCCACTGCTTCCCTTTGGACACTGTCCCTACATCTCTGATAGGAAGCACCTTCAGATTTCTAGCCTAGAATTTCTTCTTAATTTCATCCCACCTTAAATAATTCCCCCCTCCTCCTTGGTATATTAGGCTGGGACAGACTTTTATACCCCCCCCCCAAGCTCCTGCTATTTATTCCTTAGCCAAACTATGCAAACGCCACCTTGCAAACTGTGGGGGGAGAAGAGGGGAGCATCGCAAAGTCTGATTTTGGTTGCAAACTCCTTGGGGCAGGGACTTGCCTGCAAAGCACCATGGACTGAATGGGTGCAGCACAAACCCGAGTAATAGACCAGACCCACAGGCTCTGTAATTACTAGTAATTCTCCATGCTCAGGCAAATTGACACCAATCTCAGCGGGAGTTTGTTTGAGTAAGGACTGCAGGGTTTGATCCCATAATAATTAATTCCCATATTTGGCTCTTGTAGCCTTCCTTCATAACTCAGGCCCCTTGATCTTTGCTGTTGCTAATTCCTTGGCATATCTGCTGCTGCAAATCCCCTTTGGGGGAAAAAAAAATCATTCAACAACCAGGTCTCCAAATATTGAAATTCACACCCTGTGGCTGTGCAACCACAGTGCGAATCCCCCACGCCCACCCAGACAAAGAGCACCATTGTTGGGAGCAGGGACTTACCTTCACCTTTGCTGGAGGGAAGAAAGGGCTAATTCTGCCAGGTGAGCTGCAAATGTGTCAAGAAAGCCCAGGCAGAGAGTTGCTCCCCAGGTAGAGGTGTGCAGAGGACTGTGCTCAAATATAAACCAGTGAGTCATTTATAAATCACCTCAGTCAAGGGGACTGAGGGCTGTGCTTGGCTCCTGATTGGTTTGCTGGGCTTGTTACGAAGTGATTGCAAGCAAGTACACCCAGGCTAAGCCCAGGAGATAGGAAGAGAGATAAGGAGAGATCTGAAGAAGGACAGCTTTTTTAGCCCCCCCCCTTTCAGAATTAGGCTGTTTGATCCCATTGTACAATTCCCTCAATACACCCAGGCCCTCGGAGACAATAGATGATATTGAGTGTCCCCACGGGTCCCCCCAGCATTCGGATTCCCATTGTGGGGAGAAGATGCTTTTGTTGACCTGGGCTACAGTTTCCTGGTGCATTGGACAGTGACTCCAGCCTGTCTTTGTGTTCTGGCTGCCTCTCAGCATCGGACAAGGACAATGGAGTGCATTGTGCCAGGTCCTGGACTCCCAGAGGTTGGGCTTTGAACTGAGGATTGGCAAGGGAAAGCAGTTGCTTTCTTATTTCCACATTCAAAGGGATGAGAGGGGTGGAAAGGACAGAGGAAGCCACGGTTGGTCTGTTAGGCGGCGAGCACTGAGATTCCCCACACCGATGGGGCTCTGCCTGGAGAAGAGATTGAGAGACTGTCGTGTGAATAAGAATCACATCGGCAGTGATGTTATAGTGAGAGTAAAGTTGGCCAGGGCCATCAATCCTCATTGCCTCAGCGCATGATCTCCAGGGAGGGTCAGGAGGGAATGTTCATCCACTCTCCCGTTGTACAGAACTGCACATGCGAGTGCAAAAGGAGAGTTTTACAACATCCTCAAGTGCACCCACCATGGGATACTGATGGAGAGTAGTGATCAAGCTGTAATCCATTGGTCTCTTTCCATATGGTCCAGAGGTTGGGTCCAATCTTGTAAGGTGCTGAGCACCCAAGTCTCTTTGAAGGTGACCAGCACCTCAGAAGATCCAGCCCTTAAGATTTTAAAAATATGTATTATTATTATTTATTACTTATTTATATTATCGTAGCACCTAGGCCCTCAGTCGTGGCCCAGGAGCCCATCGTGCTAGCCGCTGTAGAAACACAGAACACCGACGCAGTCTGCCTCCAGGAGCATAAAATCTAAGTATAAGACAAGAGGCAACATACGGGCATAGTCAGATGCGGGAGCACAAGGAAGCAATGGTCATCATGACAGGCAGTGGTATCTGTACATCTGCAGCCGAGTTGTTGTCAAGTTTGAAAAGCCAGAAGAAAGATACCAGTGTGGAGTGTGTGTTGCTGGGGAGGACTCCAGCTAGGATTGGGGCATGTTCATGGAGTTCTCTTCTCCAGACGAGATACGTGGTTGCAATTCCCTTGCCTTTCAGCCTCTGCACTTCTTCAGGATGGGTTGCGGGACGAGTGGATGAGGAGCATTATTATTTCTTTGTATTACGATAGCCCCTGGCAACACCCAGTCCAAGCTCAGGGCCCTGTTGTGTGAGGTACTGTACAGACAAGTACCAGATCCTCCCCCAGCAACAAGGAGAGCAGAGATTGTGCTGGCCCCAGCCCTGTTCGGCCCCAGGGACACCAGCCTGTCCAGACCAAGGGAGGGAGCAGCAGGAGGTGCCTTTGTGGGGACATATCAGTGTCTCTGAGGCTAAAGGAATTGATAGATTTGTTCCAGTGGAGATGGGGTGCCCATCTCCCCCCCACTCCTGATGGCAAATGGAGATTCTCCTGGGGAGAGGGGAGGGAGGGGCAATAGTGGTTGTTGGCATAGAAACGAGGCCCTGTAGGCTCAGGCATTTGGGCACCAAGAGGAGAGACATTCCCTCCCCTCTGTGGATTATTTATTCAAAATGAACATCTGAGACAAGGCTGCTGGTGGGGGGGCATGACAGGGAAGTGTTTTGGTGGTGGGACGAAGGAGGGACATAAGCAAGCCCTTCTCCCTTTGTGAATGAAAAACTGGGACAGCCCACAGTACAGGGCAGGGTGGGAAGATGTTTAAAATCCAGACGGGATGTTTTTCTAAATGCTCTGCTCTAGGAATTATTGTGGGGCAGGTCTCTGGCCTCTGTTACACAGGAGGTCAGACTAGATGATCACAATGGTCCCTTCTGGGGTCAGGCAGGACATGACAGGTCGATGAAAGAGACGGATGGGCTGGGGAGGGTCGGAGGGTGAGGTAACCAAATGAACAGAGTTAAGCAGGAAAATAGACATTCTGGCTAGCCATCTGCCTCACCAGTGCCCAAGGCCTGTAGGCATCATGGCTGAGGAAGGTTTCAAGGAGGGGTTCAGCCTTACTAGTTTTCTTAAAACCCACTCTCAGGATGAGGGCTTGAGGGGCTTTTCAAGAAATAACTCTGGCGCAGTCAATGCCCAGCTTTTTGGTGTTTGGCCACATCCAGCTCTCTGCGTGTGTGACCCACAGAGCACGGACACTCGGTGCCAGAAGATGGGGAGGGACCCAGCATTGCCATTCTGATATGTGCTGCCCACTTGTGAGCTCAATAGCGCTCAAGACTCATGTTTCCCCAGGTGCTCACAGAGAACTGGTAAGGGAGCAAACTGAGAGTGAGAGGAAAGAGAGGGGGGCAGAGGAGGCAAGGAGGATGAGGGGGGGATGGAGAGAGCTGAGTTGGGGTGACAGAGGGCAGAGAGAGGGATGGGGATGGGTAGACAAGGCAGAGATATGACACTTTATGCCAAGTTCCCAGCAATTAACTTGCCCTGAGATTCCCTGGGGAAAGAACTCTGATGCCTTGTTTATTCCAAATCACAGGCCCCATAGACACCATCAATTTCTCACCATTAACCATCATTAATTCAGGAAGCTAATCACAGTGTCCAAAGTGAGCAAAAGAAACGTCCTGCCAGTCCAGCCGATAAGTGGGAGCCGGGGGTTGATTCATTGCCTTCTGAGAGACAGAGGCAATAATTGCCCAGTGGTTCTGTAAATATCATTAATTACCTGTATCACTTTCTTGTAAAAGGACAGCTTGATATTAATGATCATAGGGCACCCTCAGAAACAGGAACCCCGTGAGGGCCATGGGCAAAACCATTCCAGGCTCAACAGCTCAATGTGGTTCTAGCCCAGCTCCCTTCAGCAGCAGGGATGGTGATTTGACTCCTGAACTCCATTATTAGTATCATTTGCGTGACGGTGGCACCTAAAGATCCCCACTGAGACTGTGCTTGGCTCTGTACAGACAGTCGTTGCCCTGGAGAGCTTGCCATCTAGACAGACAAAAGAGTGAGAGGGGAACCGGAGGCTCAGAGAGGGGCAATGACTTGCCCAAGGTCAGTGACCAAGTTGGAAATAGGACCCAGGAGTCCTGGCCGTCCCATGCCTCCTTTCTAATCATGATCCCGCTCGTTTTGTAAACCTTTTAGCCACAGCATTCGCAGAGTATGTCTATTAGAGGGGTGACTGCAGCATGTGGAGACCAACCCGAGCAAGCTTGGATCTAGCCAGCTCCTATAACAATGGCAGTGAAGCCATCCATGGCAGCATGGGTTAGCCACTCAGGTATATATCCAGTGTCCCAGACAGGTCTGTATAACCCATGCTGCTGTGCTACCAGGTCTTCATTGCTATTGTCACTGGAGCTAGCGCGATCGGAGCTAGCTCAGCTACGTCTACACGCGATGCAGTGTAGGCACACCGACAGTTGGCAAAACTGGATGCTTTAGGGTTGCCAACCCTCCAGGATTGTCCTGGAGTCTCCCGGAATGAAAGATTAATCTTTAATTAAAGAGCATGTCATGGGCTGACACCTCCAGGAATACATCCAACCAAAGCAGGCAACCCTAGGATGCTCTCTCTGCCCTGTAAAGCCCCTGCTACTCCCCCAGCAGGGAATGGGGCACCATGGATCCCCCTGAATGCACTGAGCAGTGTGTGTGCCACAGCAGAGTATAGGCGTCATGCATGGGGCCAACCCAGACACTGAGCTCAGGGAGGAGTCCCTGCCCTTGGTTTAGACTTGACAAAAAAATCCAACCGGTTTGCAACGTACCCAAAAAGTGGAACCCGATAGCCAGTGTCGGCTCATTGCAAAACTGAGGCCACAGGTGCAGTCTAAAGCAATGGCAGCAGCAAGTGAAACATAATCGATTCCAGACAAGGAATCTGCCGTCACTTCTGCCCCTTTGCACGGTGTGCTATTTGTGTCAGGCCGTGGTGCTGCGTAAGCTCGTACGGGCTCCCGGCAGGCACGGGACGGTGGGCCCAGAGGCCTATTTGCTGAGCTCTGGCAGATGGAATAAGAGTTTTTAAAGATTAATTATATTCAGATCCAAACTCTGAACCGTTTTAGTGACCCGGCAGCAAAGCTCCCAGGCTCTGAGCTATTGGCAAATGTGCAGATCCAACCCCTCTAGCCACCTGTTATCCTGCCTCCAACAATGACCAGTCCTACGTACCTTGGAGGAAGATATAAGGAACCTTGTAGCAGACAAGTATGGAATAACCTGCCCCTAGGGGAAGTTTTCCAGTGACACCCTCAGCCCTATGCTACCTGTGTAACTTCCTAGAGAGCCACTAGTTCAGGGGTCCCGTATGCACAGAGCCACAATCCCCTCGGCCTCGTTCTGGGTGCAGAACAACCTGAATGAGGACAGCACACAGGATACGGGATGCAAAGCCCTGTAAAACCTACCCATGGCTGCTCCTGGTGCTAGGTGCTTTGCAGGACACCAGCTTCTCAGATGTGCTCTGTAGATAGAACATTTGCTTCCTCCAAGATCTCCCCAGCAGGGTGTGGAATAGAGCAGCCTCTCTAAACAGAGGCAAGTCACTAGCCTTTGTGGCATGAGAGTGGTGGTGTCAAGGACAAAACCCAGGTTATTGAGAGCATCCGTAGAAAGCTGCAAACTGGGGCTTAGCCTCCACAGAAAGAACCCAGGAGGCAATAGCTAGTGGAGATCCCAGCTCAAAGGGAGGCAATCCAAAGGCAGAGGCAATCCTCCAAGCGATTGGAACTTCTGTTCCGGAAGTATGGCAGTTTCCCCCTGCACGAGGCATT